CGGGTTCGGTTTCCTAAACCGTTCTTCAGCCTCGTCCCACTCGTAGCCCTCGAGGCATGTGAGGCCCCTTCGAGTTCTCTCGAGGGTCTCCGAGTGTTGACTACCATGCCCTCGGTAATGATTCGGACCCACGCGGCCCTCGCGGTAGTCAACAGTGTATTCATCCAGCTTGTGCTGCTGCAGTCGCTGGCTGCTGTGGTCCTCCATGCTCGGCTGGTGGTTTGGCACACTCAGCCTGGCTGGAGGACGGTTTTCATTGCTCCCTCCGTCGCCGGGTCTTCGGGGGCGTCCTTCGTCCAGAGTCTCTAAGGAACGGGTATGCCTCAAGGATGCACGGCGAAGCTGTTCCCGCCATTGACTGTCGTCTTCCCATTCCTGGCTCTCCTGAAAAGTCATCTGGTCATGGCTTAAAGGGCTGCGTGGTTGATGGGGACTACGGGGTTCATGAAAGCTGATCCGACTCGCGGTGCTCTCCCTACTGACCAGACTATCACGACTGCCAATTTGGTACGGAGGCAAGGGTGATATTGGCAAGGGAGAAGTAGCGTACGGGGAGGTTGCTCCTGGTGGCACACTGCCACTACTATGTAAGCTACTGACAGATGCACGTTGACTTGTGAGCTGGGAGAAGGCACCTCTATGAGGTGCAGTCACAAGATGTGGTGGTGGTGATACACTTGATCCCATGGAACTTCCTTGACTCGTTCTCAAGGGTGCTGATGTGGCAATCTGTGGAACACCTGGTTTGGCACAACCTGCGTTGTGTTGTGTTGGACCATTGAAAGACTGAGAATTTTCTGGAGGTGGTGGCAAGGTATTACTTGCTCCACCTGCAAAAGGCCGAGCAGGTTCATCTAAAAGTCCCTCTAATGACCTCGTTCTACGGTGGCCCATTTGAGGACCTGCTGAAGGAGAGTCCATTTTCACTGAGAGACCATATGGAAACACATTCTTGGCATCAAGTTCCGGGTCTGGGGTATAAGCACGACGCTTCATTTTACGAAGTGTGTCAGAATCATAGACATTACGTTCGTCTGGAGAAGTTACAGTTTTTCCTTCAAGAAACTCAACTGAAGTTCTCAATTCATGAGCCAGACTGTGGTTTTGAGTCAATCTCTCACGTCTCTGTTCAAAATCTGAAGCACTGGTGATCTGATTTACTTTACGACCTATGTCCTGCCTTTTATTAGCTTCAAGATCACGCTGATTATTGAGCTGGTAGGATCTTGATCTTGGAGTGCCTACCATCCCATCAGCAAGTGCTGCACCCTCATCACGAATCACATCAGAGTAATAATAAGGTGCAGAGCGAGGGCTTGATTCACTTCCTACTGACACATTGGAAGCAGCTCTTAAGTGTATAGGAGCCACGTTGCCACCACCCAGTGAAAGGACACTAGCTGTAGGGCTCACTAATCCTCGAGAAGAAGCCTCTGATGATGTACGTTGGTGACTGACACTCAGCTGGGTAACAGGACTATGAACTCCACGAAGGGCGTCAATCATAGGAGACCCCGTTGGTTCTGCATTCGATGAGATAAGCTGACTTGGGTTCTTTTTCAGCAGTGATGTCCTTGGTGCAGGGACATTCTGGTAAGTGGAGAGCTCCTTTCTGTCAGCATATGGGTCAGGAGACTTAGGTCGTGAACCGGTTGAGTTTGACCTTTCTCTTTCTAGCTGACTAACTTTTGAGTTAGGAGGTATATTACAATACTCTCTGCCTACTGCAGGACCCTGAAGATTATTCAAATTGGGGCGAGCATTATGCTGGAAACCTTCATTCACATAAGGATTCTCAATCTTTCCTGATGAAAACGAGGTGTCCAAGTTGCTCTGGAAAGACATGTTGTGATCCAGAGCTGACTTTGGCCTGGCAGAGGGTTCGTGCTTCTCTCCAGGAAGTAAAATATCTTCGGCACACTGTGGGAAAGGTTTCCGTCTGTCTCTCTGGATATTCTTTTCTGCTCCAGACATTGTACAATCTTCTGGATATGCAGCTGATGCAGGATACCTATCCTCTGACCTTAGAATGAAACTATCGTCATCATGAAGACTCTCTAGAGTCTCTTCAAATACTGGCCTTCTCTTCAGTTTATCAGAGTGAAGACTGGAGGAAGATTCTGACTTTTCAAACATCCTTTTTTCCTTGCCAATAGATGATCTCGAAGTATTTAGATCTTCTCTGAGGCTGCTCTGACTGACCCTGAGTGATCTTGAAGAGGTCAGGGCATTTCGGAGATGTGGAGGTGGATCAGGGGTTTCTAGATTCTCAAAATCAAAATTCTTTGCCTTTGGTCCTCCAGTTTCCAGTTCGTCCATAGGTGGTGGACTAAGAGGTATGGGTGGAGGAGGAACAAGGTCAGAATCTGAGGAATCTTGGGCATCAGGATCACTTGACGGTTCAGCTCCACTTAAGTAGTATGAAGCTGGACGGAAAGTGTCCGATAGGCTGAAGCGAGGATTGCGTGGGGGTTCCAGACTATCAAGGTCCTTGGAAGCTTCATCATCTGCATCAGAAGAGACATTTGACTGAGGCTTTGTGTCAATCTTACTAAGAGAGGAATTAAGAGCAGTGTCTGATGGATATTTCCTCTCAGAATTAGGCTGTAGTTTTAGTTCATCTGGTTTCTCTGGAATCTGGGGTTTTTCGTCAACTAGATTTTCGTCCTTTTCAGAGTTTGGAACTTCCATATAGATAGCTTCATAATGAGACTGTCCCTTGTATATGTACTCATAATGCTGGGGCTCATCTTTATCCCCAATTTCGTAATACCTAGGACTCTCTGGAGTAAATGTTTGCTCACCAGCCAATTTACTGAGATCAAGTCGAGGAGGAAGGCTTGCATTACTTGGGGTGTTATTGGATGCTGTATCTCCACTCATCTCGATATAAGTGTGTTCCTCATATTCCGTTTTTGCAAAGGCATCAGGGTATACAGGCTCTGGAGTAGGCAAATGCTTACTGCTCAGACTACTGCAAGAACTTGCTGGAGCAAGAATACCTGATCCATGGCTTGGCTTTTTAGGTGGGCTCATTGGTAAGTAGTTCTCCTCTATATAAGGATTTGGTCGAGGTAGAGGGCTCTGAATTCCACTTGTTGGGCAAATAGGAGGTGGTGGAGCATCTTCCTCTGGTGGCTTATCCAGGTCTATTACAATAGACGTGTCATGCTCAGAGGGAGGATAAAGCAATCTACTTTGCTCACTGTTCAATGTGGTGTCCATCCAACTTGCCTCTTCCCCTCCACTGTCACTGTCCTCCTGCACCTTCAAGGATTCTTGAATAGATTCTGCTAAACTTAGTCTCAGATAGGCTGGGGCCATAACTACGTCCATATCTCCTCCTAATGTTGGCTTCTTTGGTGGCCTTGGAGGAGGAACAATGGGAGCAATCTCCTCCTTCTTGTCATCTGCCGACTTCCTCAGATCTGCAAGAACAGATGTGGTAGGTGACACTGGTGTCTTCTCTGGCAATGCATTGTACTGGTCATCACAAGGGCCCTCATCGCTTGAGCTCTCGTTGGACAGCATTTCTGAGTCACTGTGGAACTTCTTCCTTGATACATCTTGACTCATACTGACCCTCTCCATGTGTTCTATGCTCCTCTCTTCAAAATTCTTCAGGAGAGCCTTCACAGATCTAGGCTGTGCTGGTTTCTTCATCAAAGGAGGCTTAACAGGATTTAATGGTTTTTCATGCTGTTTGTTAGCCTCAGGCTTAGAATCGTCATCAAACAAAAACTTTCTGATGTTGGTTCTGCTAAGCCTTGAATCCATGATATCCTGAGGGCTTCTCAGTTCTCTGTACTCTAAACTTGAAGGCTCTGGACTCGAGACATACCTTAGATTTGCCACTCCTTCTTCCATGGTAGCAGCACCAATAACCTCATCTCTCCTCTTATAATCAGATATGTTCTTGACTTGCGCCTCTTGAGCTGTCACCATAGTGGATTCCGAGGTGGCGAACTCAGCTTTCAGGGGTGATACAAGAGCTTCTGAACTTCTGACTTGAGACACAGGTTTCAAGGGTTCCTTCAGGGGTTCTCTTAGGTTTCTTGAAGGCTGCTCATGTAAGCCTGAGTTATTCATTTGATTATCTATTTGTGACTTTGATTCGCTATGTTTTAAGGGTTTAATGCGTGATTCCTCACTATGATTGATATGATTTTCTTTGGCATCAATGTTGCTAGTAAATTTCTTTATCCTATCTTGCACCAAATTCATCTGACTCTGAGTCTGTTGATGAGTTTCTTGTACCATTTTTGGACTTTCTAAACATGGTAAAACTGGGGTTGACTTTTTCAGGGAATTGGACATATTTCTAAAATTCTCCTGGGGTGACGATTCACAGTTCTTATCAGGAGTAATGTATTCATAACTGTATTCCTTCACGACCTTGGATTCGTCCACTTTGGATTTCAGATCTGGGCCCATCGGCCTTCCCACCCAAGACCTGTCAAACTTTTCAGGGCTCCATGTTTCCGGCCTTCTACCAGCACGATCATACCCCCTTCTTCTTACAACACTCGAACACTCAGGGCTACTCTCTAAACTATCTGCTTTCCACAGGGATCCACCATGAGGATTTCTGTTCTCTTCGCGTCGGAGGGGCATTTCTGCACGCAAAGTATCATAACCACTGTCTGAATATTTGCCAGTGGAAGTGGTATCATCTTGAAAGCCTGTGCCTCTTTGAGAAATGTGGGAGTTCAAACTATCGCCTTTGTGAGCAATGTGGGAGTCATAAGAGGGATAACCTGTTGTACTATCATAGCTCTGGAAGTCTTTGCCATCCCTTCCATGCAGACTGTGGTGCGAATTCTTGTTCATGTCCACAGAGGGCCTCCTTTGCTCATTTTCAAAGGAAATATTGTTCACCTGTTGGTACTTATTTTGTGACGAAGTCTTGGAATCATATGAAGTGTTCAGATCTCTTTGTGAAATGTTATTCACAGGGGCACTGGTATTCTTGTCATCGTCAAATCTATGATCATTTATTGCTGGCATTTGAACATCAGATACATAATAGGGATCTCTTGTAGCATAAAAGCGGTCACTGTAAACATAACTCTGTTCAAAATTCCTAGATGCATTGGGATTTTGTTCATTTTCTAGATGCTGTGGCTCAAACCTTCTCACTTCATCATAGCCTTCATGCTGTTCAATGAACACAGGTTCAGCACGTTGGCTCACTGTTCTCTCACTGCAAATATTTTCTACATCTGAGGCATTACTTTTACCTCTGAATTTATTTGAATATTTAGGATCACACGATTCACTCACTACATTTATATTCACATAATCAGGCGACGAAGTAGGCGTCGCATGCATTGGCTGCTGCACAAAACTATCACTCATAAGCTCATTCCTATTTTCATCCCGGAAATCCCTGGAAACGTCCATATCCTCGGGACTGCGTTTTTCCGGCCAGGCTGGATATCTGCCTTCCGGCGTGGTGCCTGCCCTTCGTCCGTCGCGACTCAACTCGGCACTGCTTCTCCTCGAGTTGCGTCGAGTCCTTTTTCGAGTCTCACGCTCCTCCAGCAGATCTGTAGGGCCATATCTTGATCAGCCAAGCAAAACTGGCATGAGAGTTAGTCTTCTTTGTTAGTAGATCTTCAAGCCACTAGGAGTCAGGTTATTTTTCCACTCCATACAAGTAGAAAAGAGCAACTAAAGTCACTGCTAAGACAGTTCTTGCATGCAGGTTCAAATAATGTCAAAATGCTGACCACAACTTCCAGCAGGCAGAAAGTTAGTCGGCCAGAGACAGCCTTTTTGAATAAGCGCACACAAAAGAATCGCTTTCAGCCATGCTATGGCCAAACAAAAACTTGTCTCAGGTGAAGATTCCAACCCAAGAAAATACCAAGCAAGGTTTAAACATGCCATTTTCGATTCCTAACAGAGTAACTACAATTTGTTTTTAGTTTTGATAAAGTCCATAATAACCACAAAGTTTACAGCTTATGGACAATGAAATCATTGTTACTTCAACTGTTAGTTTATAGAAAATAAGTATTTACAAATACCATATCATCATATCAATGTAAACACTGTCTCTTTACTTCTACACATAAGACCACATCACCAGTAACATGCATATTTTTTCCGGGTCATAAGCGCCAAAGCGGGACACCAAAGTAACTCACTTTATCTCGCTCTGGGTTAATCACCGTTTACAGATGAGAGCATCGCGCTGTTAGGGCTACAGTATCAGAATGTCAGTAAAGGATAAGAATCAACAAGGAAGGTGATCTGCCAGATACATCCTTTCCATTTCAAACAGAGATAGGCTACAATACAGATACAGTACCAAATACCACCAAGTGCCCTTAAGCAACCATTCAAATGTATTCAAATTGGGTAGTATCCTACTAAAATGTGTTAGTAAAGCGATAGTTGAAAATTTAGATTTCCAAAAGATACATCATTATAATCTCACATTCAAACTCATTCACAGTACTACTGTATCACACCATGAAATAATGTTCACATTATCCAAAGGGGAAAGCAATATCACCACTGGTTTGTTTTACGCATCAAAAATACTCGGTTATCCCTTTCATCTTTAAAAATGAAGAACATAGAGCAAAACTTACCTTCTTCATCCGATGAGTAGCTGTTATATCTCGAGGCGGAGGCAGACCTTCTCGAGTCTCCTCCACTGACATGCCTGGTCCTGGAATTCTCCCTCCGGCCTTCCCTCCTCCTACTGCTCCCACTGTCGGAGCTCTGGTGGGAGGAGCTCCCCTGAGGGGCCGGCCTCTCCCCGGGTCCTCGACCAGATACACACATGGGACTCTGATTCACATGGCCCTGACTCATTGGACTGGCACTCATGTACTCCTGGGGTACAGAACAGTCACTAGATACCTGACCTGGCTGACTTCCTGCCCCGTGGTGCAGTCCAGCTGATCCATTCGGCGAGAAGCCGTGGGGCTTTCCTGGCACAGGCCCAGAGGGCGGCACTTGTCCTAGGGGCCTCCCAGGGGACTGGCTCTGGCCATGCCCGTGACTTTGGACACTTTTTGATCTGGCTTCCTGAGTTGCAAGCTCGTTTAGGACCTGCGGAGATAGTCATATTGTTATTACGTGTAATTTAACATTTCTACTTGCAATGACAACATAATAACTACAGGTAGCAAAAATATATTTACTTAATGACGTGGTAATCATCATTATCATTATCACCATCATCATCATGCCAATGACAGAGACAATAATAATAATAATAATAATAATAATAATAATAATAATAATAATAATAATAATAATAATAATAATAATAAATAATAATAATAATAATAATAATAATAATAATAATAATAATAATAATTAATAGAAACAGCAATAATAATGACAACAAAATAGTAAGCCCAGAATGGTTACTTCAAAAAATTATCTTCAGAATAAGACTTCACATCCCAAGTAAGGAATAATACTACTGATGCACACTCATTTCATACCAGAGATAAATTCATCCACACAGAAATCAGTAATATAAACTAATTAAAGAATAATCGGAGTACAAAAAATATTGCAGTGACTGTCCTCATTACACACGTATACTTACACTGTCGTATACTTATTCTATTACATTTATTTACTGACTTTTTTTACAAACTTATACTCATACTGCCCTGTACTTATTTTATTACTTTCATTATTTGTCTTAATACAAACTTGTACTCATAGTGTCTCATGCGCATTTTATTACAGCATATTTCATATTTCGGGACCCGCAGTTACTCACTTGTTGCCTATAAGCTTCGCTGTTTGTTCGAGGTTGTGGCGTTGCAGTTGCATCTTGGCGAGGGGAGGTCTTCCGTGTTAAGGGTGATTGCAACATTCGCTGTTTCCACTCCAGCAGCCTTTTCATAGATTCCTCTCTCTGGAGGGAAAACAAGGACAATAAGAGTGTGGGTTTATATATGGCAATGATTCTAGTTTAGTTTATCTATTTTTGTCAAATGCACGTACTTTACATTCAACTTGTATTTTTTTAGTATAGATAATATGGCAAAGAATAACTGCAATCTTGAATAATTTCATCCAATCAAGATCTACCATTTGCCTGTACCATTTACATGTCTATATGAGAAAATTACTTCTAAGCTAGAGGGAGGCTACATCCATTACCATTTGGTAAGCAAAAAACATACTTAAATTATACATGAAATACTTAAGGCAAAAGCGAGTGAGAATGAAATGTAAGGGATCAGTTTTTCTCTACCCTACAGAATTTCCCTAATATTCCAAAGAAAGAGAACTTTAACTCAATCAATGAACCACCTAATAAGGGCTAAACCACAAGTGGTAAATTTTGATACCCTTTTTTTCTATACAATAAAACCCAACATTTTTTTTCTCGATCCCAAAGCTATTGTTTCCATACCTGTTGCATCTTTTTGGTGTCTCCATCCGACCCATCGTCAGGCAATGAGGTGTTCATCATATCATCCTGCAACTTGTGCCGTGGCAACCTCGCAGACGCCGACCTCATAAAGCTGTTGTTGGCGCTGCCACTGGGAGAGGCACTGTTCTGATAGCTGCCCGGGGGGGTAGGCACACTGTTGAGCGTCGTGTTGGGCGATGTGTCCGACCTGTTGTGAGGATCCTCATGATTGTGTTGTCTGTGCACTTCGGGTGCCATCCCTTGACGCGGATCTTGCCTCGGCTCCGATCGCATGTGCACTGGTCTGGAGTCGAGCCTTGGGTCTGGCCTGAGGTCATGCCTCGGGTCTTGTCTCAGGTCGGGCCTTACATCGGCCCGGGGATCCTGACTCAGGTCTTGTCTCGAGGCTGGCCTGCTGTCCCCAACCATGCCGTGTCGCAGGCTGTTCGTGGTACCCGGCGCCATGTTCGAGGGTTTGTGTGGCGTGTAGAGATCGGGCGTGGCGGCCCCAGCAGGTGGCACACGTTGAGGGACGCCGTGGGGGCTGTGCAAATGGTGGTGGTCACTGACAGGGCTCTCACCCTTCCCCGCTGCCGAGAATCTCGACGTGGGTCTGCTGTGCATGTGTGTGTGGTACAACGACGACTGCCGCATCTTTTGAGCGTAATTTTCCTCCGACCAGTGATCCAGGTCGCTCTGACCCACGGACGACTTGGGCCGAATCTCGTTGGGTCTCGGGAGGTCGCCGCCGCTGCCGCGTCGATAGGACCACATGTCGTTGCTGCCGTGCCGCCTGTCGTACTCCAGGAAGTCGGCGCTGTGCGGGCGTGGCGGCCCCTGCGGCCGGTGGCGATGGTGCGGGTCCGGGTGCGAGACACGGGGGAGCGTGTCCTCCTGGCCACGGAAGGTGGGCCTCATGGGGTCGGCTAGCTGCAGCTCCTCGGAGAGTCTCGTCCCGCCGCTCCTGGACGAGGCGAACGAGTCTCGCTGCTCGGGCTTCCGGATGGGACTCTGCGCTAGGGAGCTGGAGCCATTGCTGTCGCCATACACGTCCTCGTAATCCCCGCGCGCGCCGCCCGACGTCACTCCGTACGCGTCGGGAGTTCTGCGCTCGGCGGAGGGAGGATGGAAGTGTAGTCCTCGGGCGTCGGGCGAGCGCGAGTCCGCGGCGCCGTTGCCGCCACCATGGTCCGTGTAGATCCGCGGGTCTCTCTCGTCCCGCTCGGGAGACCGCTCCGGGGAGGTGCTGTAGTCCCTGGAGGAGTTCAGCCGCTTGGGCTTGGGCGGGGCGTTGGCGTACAGGGGCTGCCGTTCGCCGGGCCGCAGGATCAAGGACGAGTCGCACGAAGTGTTCAGGCGGTCGCCCTGGAGTCGGGATGATTCGCTTGCCTGCAACAAAGCAAAACACTGAGAACAACGATATACTGTCTAAACAAATTCCACCTGTGCTGTCACATCCAACAACTAGGTGACAAACAGGCTAATATAAAACTCAAAAGACCGTACCCCAGCCCTCTCTGGAACACCACCAACCCAAACCACACAGAAGACCGAACCCTCCACCAACCTCGTCCAGAGACCGGCCGTCTGGGGACCGGTACCTCCTCGACCTGTAGCCGTGGAAGCCGGAGTCGCTCTCGTCGGCTGAGGGCGAGGCCGTCGACGCCAAGGACGAGACCGAAGGGCGCTCACTCCGGCGCGCGCTGCTTCCGCTGCTCCACTTTTCCTCCAGGCTGGAAAGAGTTTGGCATTTTGAGATTTTTGGAATTGTGACATTTTAGATTTTTGGATTTCTGGAGTTTTGGAAATTTGACAATAGATTTCTGGAATTTTGTTTTATCTTAGATTTTAAATTAGATTTTGGTGTATGGAATTTCGTGAAGTTAATTGTGGATTTATGGTATTTTGATCATTTATCTCCGAGGCTGGAAAGAAATGTGATTAAGGCTACAAGGAATGCTTCACAATTAATGTTAAGATTTCTTTCCTTGAAATTACGCCTTTTTAAATTCAGTATTCTTATCTGATTGGATGATAAAATGTTACGCGCGTGGGTGAGGGAGAGGGAGAGGGGGAGAGGGAGAGGGAGGGAGGGAGGAGAGGGAGGGAGGGAAGGAGAGGGAGGGGGGTGAGAGGGAGAGAGAGAGAGAAGAGAGAGAGAGAGAGAGAGAGAGAGAGAGAGAGAGAGAGAGAGAGAGAGAGAGAGAGAGAGAGAGAGAGAGAGAGAGAGAGAGAGAGAGAGAGAGAGAGAGAGAGAGAGAGAGAGAGAGAGAGAGAGAGAGAAGAGAGAGAGAGAGAGAGAAGCAGAGAGAGAGAGAGAGAGAGAGAAAATGAATGGAAGGAAAAGAGAAAAAAGAGAGGCATCCAAAGCACAGAAGGAAACGTGATGCGCCATGTAAACTGAAGGCATGGCCACGTATCGCCAGAAAGGAATAAGCGCATTTGTAAGTGTCGTAAACCTTCATGTTTTTAACGTATAACGAGCCAGAAATATCGGCCATTAAAAAATAGCCCCTCCCCCCTCCCTCCGCCAACAGGTTTGTCCAACGCAAGCATAGGACTGCAAGCACACTTCCTTATATGTTGAACGAGCCGACGATGGGACAACTTTAACATTTTATTTGGAGAAAGAAAAAGTTTCCGCACTGACTCCTCCTCCTCCTTCTTCTTCAGTAAAAGTTCGTGCAACGACCTCAGAACGACCAGGAAATGGCAACTAAATAACGCAATGAAGCATATATACTGACGTTAGTTCATGCCTTATCTAAAGTTAAGTTATCGGAGTTGTTCTTTTCACGTCGAAAAGGTAATCCTGTTATGTCTACTTCGGCATTGACTCTTGCACCCGTCATGGTGATCTTATCTATCTACAGTCTCTATCCTTCTATCATGAAAGTCTTATTCTTTATTACTTCTGTTATTTCTGAATCTTCCATCCGTAATGAGTACCATCTGTATCTATTTTCTCCATTTCGACCATGAAAATCTTCATTAATTCTGTTATGCCTAGTTTAGCACCGACTTTTGAACCCGTCACGATAATAAGTATATCTATTTCCTCTGTTCCTTTAATATCAATTTTTATTCCTCATTAACAACCAATAAACAAACACCTTCCACCGGGAATAAAAATGCAAAAAGGAGAAAAAAGCCTTCAGAGCCCCCAGTTCAATGATCGCGCGCAGAAATCAACTTGTTTGTACCGTAACGTTCTCACGCGACGAGACGCCAGCGAGCGAGGAGGCGTCTTCGCCGATCACCAGGCGTCCTAATAATAATAAACCAGATACCACAACGAGTGTCCAGTTTCACACCCTACGCCCTACTCATAATCCTATCCCCGAATCTCTTACCCACATGGCCTCATACCCTCATGCACTCACACCCTCACCTCACATCCTCACACACTTACCTCATATGCTCATACACTCACATCTTCACCTCATATCTTTATACACTCTCACCCTCACCTCACATATTCATACACTCCCACCCTCACCTCATATCCTCATACAGTCACACACTCACAACTTCATAGATTGATCTCATATCTTCATACTCACCTCATATTCTCATACTCAACCTCATACACTCACAGCCATACCCCATTTGCTCTTAACCTCACATCCTCATATTTACCTCACACACTCACAACCTAATACACTCGCAAACTCATATCCTCATACTCACGACCTCATACCCTCATCATACTCACACGTTTACCTCATATCCTCATACTTACACCCTACCTCATATTCTCATACACACACCTTTACAACCTCAAACTCTCCTCATATCCTCATATACTCACAACCTCATATCCCTATAGGCAAGACGTCATCCTCATACACACCTCATATTTTTATATGTAACTTATATCCTCATGCTCACAACCTCATATCCTCATACACTCACATCCTCATTCTCCCTTCTCCCTCCAGATCCACACCTTGACCCTCACACCTATACCGTCATATCGTCATACACTCACAACCTCACCCCCCTCCTCCCCCCTCACCCCCCGCCCTTACAAAACGACCCCCCACCCTCCCCCCTCACCTCCAACATTCCCTCCCCCCTCTCCACACCCCTCACCTCCAACCTTCTCCCTCCTACCTCCCTTCACCCCCCTCCCCCCCCGGGCTCCACCCCTCCTTCAAGGTGCCCGGACAACCTAAGGTCAAGAACAGTTCATTTCTTGTTATCATCTTATTCCTTTTATTCTTCTTCCCTTTTTTCTATCTATTTATTATCTATATTATTCTATTCCTTTACTTTTTTTTATTTTATTTTACTTTACTCTATTTCTTTTTATTTATTTATATTTATATTATTATTTTTTTTTTTTTTTGGGGGGGGCGAATCAATGACCGAACTTCGTTCACACACAAAAAAACAGGGGGTGGGGGAGAATATCAACACGTGTACATCAAATCACTTGCGAATTAAATTGAACTGTCACATGTAGGCCTATATTTACCATGTATGCCAATCTTTATCACATGTAGGCCTATATTTATCATGTATGCCAAGCTTTATCACATGTAAACCTATATTTATTATGTATGCCAATCTTTATCACATGTAGGCCTATGTCTATCACATGAAGGCTTACGTGAAATTATTCGAAACACTCGTTCATTGAAATGCAATACATTATCATGTTTCTAATGCAAATCCTGCATCAACTAAAAAACGGATCCGATTAATTAGTTGGAAATCACCCGTTGTCATTGAACCTTCACAAATTCTTACGTCATCTAACCAATATTTACCATCTGCGTTTACGTAATCTACCATTTATTATAAATATGTATATAACCTTTCATATACATATCCAAGGACGCGAAACAAATCGTGCTTTTTGAGCATACGAGTAAAAACACGGAAAATCTACATCGAACAATAACAACCTGAACAAAAGCAAATGCAAAACATTTTCTAATATCAGCAGTAACAATGAAAAACGATAATTATAATGACAGCAATAACAAAATAACAACAACTGATGTTGTTGTTGCTGGTGGCGGTGGTGATGGTAATGGTGGTGATGTTGGTGATGATGATGATGGTGATGGTGGTGGTGGGGAAGATGATAATAATAATAATAACAACAGTAGTAAAATGTCGATAACAACAAAAATAGAAGCGAAACAACAATAAAAATACTGACATCACATCATCGACAATAACAATCCTCGAAAATGGAGGTTGCAAAGAACAAAAAAGGCATAACAGGTAACACAAACCCCCTCCCCCTCCCCCTCCCACTTAACCCCTTTTCACCTCAGCTCTAACACTGATACGTTTTCTTTACGGTGAATAACATCGACTTTTTTCTCCTTTGCAATTCCTTAATTATCTGCCTCATTAACCTTGTCATAATTCCCTAAAGACGAAGAGCTAAAAAATATGGAGTAAAAAAAATGTAGGCCAAGCATCTTATTATCGTAATCAAGTTTGATCGATAAACCAAGATAAAACGATAAAAACTGTGCCCCCATGTGTCCTGTGGACTGTTTCCTGTGACCCCCACCCCAACTGTCTGTCTGTCTATCTGTCTGTCTGTTCGCCGATCAGTCTGTTCATCTGTCAGTCAGTCAGCCTGTTAGTCAGCCTGTTCGTCTCCCTGTCTGTCTCCCTATCCGTCTGCTTAACCGTCTGTCTCTCACCAGCACAACACACACTGACCTTTCACGAATTCAAAAACAAAACTCACCCCAGTGTTCGTGTGCTCTGCCAACCGCTCCCAAGGACAGCCAAATGTATTTATTTTGATGTCAAAAAAAGGAAAAAAAACGGGGCATCGGTTTATCATGCGCGAATTCTTGCCCGCATGCCCGATGCTCGATAACTTCTTGAAACAATTACACAGAGGGAGAAGGAGCAGGCCAAGACTGCCGCCAAAATATCCAGCATGCCAATTATTTTCTCCCAGGTTGAAGCTTATCGCCACAACAACTCTGACACTTGAATCACAACCTCACCACACTTGTTACGGTTCTGACAAAACGTTTCTTTCACGGAGAATCACTTAAAAAAAGAATGTATCTGCATTATGTCAGAGGAGTAGTTTCCTTTCAGAGTCAAGGGCAAAGCTTTCCTGTTACCAACTAGTCGAATAAACGGCGCCGCTTCGACTCCCGCTCTCTGAAGGGAAGGGGTGGGGGGCGCTGTATCTCGCTGTAATGTCGTTTCCTCCCCAAGCTGTATCGCCGCTGGTCGGAAATGAATACCTCCTTGAGATTCGAGTCCCAGAGGCCACTTCGGCGTTGTTGATGTTCCGACCGGAAATTCCTTGAGCTGGCATCGACGGAAGAGCTAGGCTTCTGCAGCGTACAACCTCACCCGGATCTCTTCTATGAATGAAGTACACGTTCACCGTCCAGTCCTTTGTACACAAACACTGACGCACTTGTCCCCCAGACCCCTCTCTCTCTCTCTACACACACTCCCTATTCTCTATCTCTTTCTTGCAACTGTCACTTGCTTGTGTCAGTCCCACCTTATCTTGAGTCAATTACCCGACTCTTATCTTATCACAGACAATATTTACTGCGCCGCATCGTTGCAAAAATTCGAAATCCGGTCATTTGAAATTC